GACGTTCGCGTAAAACAGGTCTCGCGCCGTCTATAGGTAACCTTCGGGCAGCTAATTCCAATTTTAGGGCTTCCCTACTTAAGTTATTAATCCAATCGTCATTATCAGCCATTTAAAAGTTAATAATTTCGTCGGATGGGATTTCAAGAATATTTTATTTATTTATTTTCAAAATTAGAATTTGTTAATATTTTAAACAAATTTAAGCGATGATAACGAGTCTGGGTTGTTACATGTATCAGACTAATATAATGTATCAGTTTCGAACTATCAATTAATTAAAATATAGATAATTTTATTTTCAATTCTTAAAAAATAATTATGCTCAATCAACTCAGGCTTAGTCCACAAGCAGTAGTAATGTTAACAACTTATAGGTAAATAGATAAAATTCTCGAAATAAATTTTAATTAAAATCAAATTCACGAGAGATATACACAAAACGACCTTAATATGTGTTGTGATGATAACAAAACTTTCAATTTCTCGAAATTAATTTTCTGAGAAGAGGCAAAAAATGTAAACACGATATTTTGGTTTCTATCTCAGTAGAGGGTCACCAAACAAAGGAACAAAGCAATCTCTGAGATAACAGGAATAAAGCAAAACATAGTCAGTTTTTATAGCTTTTGCTGCCCCACGTTGGGCGCCATTTGTAACGAGAAATTTTACCAAATACAGAATATGTTAAAAACAAAATTATTTTGCCAAAGACTTATATATTTCTTGCTCAAAATGGGGATGAGAAGATCCAAATTTACGGACCGTAATTATTTTATTAGGCGCCAGTCCTTTCTTGGGACACCGTCAGCACCATAAAATTAATAATAAAGGAACCAAAAATTCAATATTCAGTAATTCTGAAACTTCTCAAATCAAAAGAACAAATCTAGCTTTACTGCGGAGAGAGGGGGTGGTTCTTTAATAAAAAACTGAAATTAACGTAATAACAGATATTTATTTTGCAAATTTGAAAGTAAATTACAGGTTAATTTTCTTGATTTTGTATTAACAATAATATTTTCGATTAATATTACTAGTAACTTATAAACCAAATCGGTAACCTTAAATCACACATGATTCTGTAGGCTTAACAATCAAAATTATAACAAAGGGGAGAAGAGGGAGAATCAGAGGTAACCACAATCCAAATTTTCAATCATTCAAAAAAAAACTAAATTCGTCTATAAAAGTAAAACAAAGGGGATACGCTTTTCCTGCCAGCTCGGAGATCGCACAATATCTCAAAAGATCGGAGAGAGGGAGCGAAATCAGTATTCGATATAACTCGAACAATTAATATAACAATGTTTACAATTATGTGTGACTTTAGCCCAAAACTGACCGAGAAAAATGACGTGAATATCGGAAAATAATAATAAAAATCAATCCTGACTTGGCAAAAGTCAAGCCCGAGGAACGAATTACATAAATACGCGATCAGCAAAATTAATAAATAGTTCTGGTAAAACAAGACCGCCAGGTTAATCCACCAGCAACTACACGGCAACAATATTATACTTTAACATCACACGAACATTTTCTCAGTCAGGTAAGGGCGTTATTCTTGGGAAACCAATCACTAATGCATAAAAACAGGAGTCATACCTTAAACAATAAGTTTCGTCGAGTCCTCAGAAAAACACGAATTATCACACAATTAAAATTAACTGTAATTGTCTCTTGAGAATTTCCAGGTGATCGTCTCGGTAGCCGCTGCAGGAATGAGAACGATGCTTCGCGTCGTTCGTCGGCGTGCCGTGAATGCTTTTCACTCCTTCCTCCCTAGTCACCAAAATTCAAAATCCCCTAGGATGTTACTAGCCATATGGTGCGTACTCGTAGTCCGTAACTAGTAGGGGCCCCAAAGGCGTTCGACAAAGAATAATAATCGGCAACAACTCCTTATAATAAGTTGTTCAATAGGCCAGAAGGTAGAGTCAGAATTCGTGGCAATGGCAAACTTCACAAAATATGCGTCCTCAGCACTCAGCAAGACGTAATTTTCGATATTGTTGGAGTGTTACTGTCACCAGGAGCGTAACTATGGTGATTCTCCCCCTTATTAGTTGGAGAAAGCAAGAAAATTCTCTTTAAACCTCACAACAGCCTTTGATTGGTGATTACAGTGGAAACGTGTCGCTTGCGATTGGCCCTCCGTTATAATGGTCGACAGGTGGTGTAATTTCAAATTGCGGATCGAGGAATGGCTTCGTTAAGTGACGGGAAAATTCAAATCTGGTGACTCTTGGGAAAAGTGATTTCGTCCGAAAACTCCAGCTGGTACTTCTTGAAAATCCTCGGTTGATTTTACATAAAAAGAAATTACAAAATTAATATTTACGTCGAAATTACAATTTTTAACGATTTTGACCTCCGAGCTGTTGCGACCATCGCGACTACACCAAGAAGTTGTGTGACCAAATTTTACCACGTTACATTTAATTACTTCTGACATCATCATAAAAGATTTTGTGTATGCATTTTAAGTTCTTATAATATTTTCTATATTTTGTAAAAGTTGTTCGTCCAAATTTTCGTTACTTTTTAATCTATAATGAATTGCTTCTTTAGGATCATAATTAAATAATTGACCAAAACATGGGTTTTCACCTTTATCAGGATATAAAGCACTATATTAATTTGGTAATAAATTTGACCTTGAATTTTGTAACAAATTGGTCCTCTTCTTGTGTTATTAAAATTAATTACGTTAGCATTCAAAGATGCAAAAGAAAAAGAATTATTATACTGTCTTATTTTTTTAAATGACCTGACTTTGTATGAAGTCCTTCTAGCAATAATCTTTAATCTTCTGGATATTGCACTGAATGTAATATAACACCACCATGACCACAACAATCATTAAAACTGTCCTTTTTGACACTAACTCTTTCATTTTTAAAATGCTTAGCTTGACAATGGCTGCAATAATAATTCAATTTTCCTAAATAATTTTCATTAGAATTTGATTCATGAATAATCTTGTCTTTTGATATTCTTAGCAGAATAACAGTTGATTGTTGTGTATTAAGTTTCAATTTTTATCTGTTATTACTGAAACAGAAGAAATGTCATTTATTAAATCAGAATGATTAGAATTTACATTTTTTAAATTAAAAAGAGTTTATTTCATTTTCTTTTTTCCCTATATATTTTTTGATATTCTGCTCGAATCTTTTTTCTTTTTCTAGACAAGTGATCTACTTCATCTGAAAGATTTACATTTTCAATATTTCTTTTCAATTTTTGTCTGGCATGATAATTTCTTTGATTTTCCGCTAACTTTTTCGAACAGTTTTAAATAAAGAATTTGTTTCCTTTACAATATCATATATATTCTTTATTGTAAAAATGGAAGCAACGATATTTTCTAAAGTAACAAATTTATACATATTATCATCATTTGAATCATTAACTTGACTTAACAAATTTTTATGCTTAAGTAATCCCTCTTCACATTCTTTTTGATATTGTATGTTGCTTTTCTTTCACAAGGAGTCTTTTTCATTATTGATAACTTCAAACTTTCTTTTATCCGGAGGTTGTCGTTGGAATTCTAACTGATTCGTTTGAATTTTTTTAGAGAAAACTTCTACTTTATCTGAATGAAATAAATTTGTAATTTTTTTACTTTTGGATTTGAGTATGGCAGAATATTATTCTGTCATTGAAATATTATTGATTTCCTTTGTACTATTTAAAATTCTTTCACAAGGAATATTTTAATTAATAATTTTAATAGGGTGTCTTTTCCACATAGGAGTTCTACAACTGGATTCCTTAAAAGATATTCCCAATCATATTTAACAACTAAACGTGGATTAATAGAATTTTTTTAACCAGAAAACGGCAAAAATGATTGTTTTTAAAAATTAACTTCAAATGATTTCTCATATGGCGGTTTTCACGTCAAATGTCCAACGAAAATAAAAGTGTTGATGAATCAATCCCCAAATTTTTTTATAAGTTGTCATATAAGTGATTCAAACATATCATGGCTCATATCATAGCTTTTTTTCCAGGTGCATCGGACCCTTTGTCATATAAGTAAGTAATTTATCAGCCAAATATTTTTGAATTTTATAAAAAATTATGAGAAGTGGAGGGGGTAGAAGTTTGGAGTTTTGATGTGACACGCACTACTTCGTTTATTTATTGTATTTAAACGAGACGATGAAAAATAATTTTCGAATATGGTATCTTTAGGTTTTTTCATAAGCTTTCGATTGCCGTAGTCGATTTAAGAAAATTTTTTGATTTTGACCAAAATTTTTGAAAATTAAGAATAAAATTTAATTTTTCTCATCTTCGGGCTCGTTTTTCTTTTTTTATTTTATTTTTATTGGAAAGCTGAGGTTTTTTCCCAAAAAACTGTTAATTTTCAGAAAACCGATTTTGTTTGTTTTCGAGAAATTAAATATTGGATACAGCGCGTCACGTTAGGGCGCGGACGCTCCGCGCTGCGCCGCTGTACTGTACGGTACATAACGAACTTCAGATTACTGGCGATGGATGTGTAAAGATTATAAAAGTTATAAAAGGTTGTTTGAACTTCTCTCTGCATTTTACAGGGTTGAGACTTCCATTAAAATAGTATAATGCCTGCATTATTATTCTTTTTTTAAAATTTTTTTTATTTTTAATTTTTTTGTATCCCTGCTTTGCAATATTTATTATATGAAATTAGTAGATATGCAAATTAGGTAAAGAGAGACATTCTAATGTTATTTACTTTCGAAAGAGGAAGAAAGCAATAGCGTTAGATTTTCTGCGTTATAAACAGAGACCGATAATGGTACAGTAAAGTTCGTTTATAATGACATGCAAGGGACCTGGCGATTTGGTCATATTAACCGGTCGTCATACTAAACGGGCAATATAAAGTTATGAAATAAAATAACCACTTAAGATATTTCAAATTAAATTCGTACTTTTATTACAAACTCTTGTCATTTAAATCACAATAAGTATTAAGTTAAAATATTATTCTTCATTTACTATAAAAATGCACTCATTTTGGTTTGCCTTTGCACTTTATGGGAATAAAAATGATTTCTTATAGCATTATGAACCTTAGACATTGAGCTTTTAATACTATCGCTGTCTAAACTACTATGGACAAAGTGGGATAGCAAATCAGCAGCTTTTAATGCCTCGGTTACAGTAGGAATTTCACTGACTGTGTTTTCTTCAATTTCTTCATCGTCTTCCTCACTTTGTTGTTCATTGATTACATCCTGCACGATGGTGTCAACTGTAGTTTCTTGCGTTGAGACGACACTTTTATCGACATTAACGTAATTATTCCACATTTCGTCCGAAACTTGTAAGTTACAATTTAAATCTTTGACCCACAAAGCCAGTGGCACGTCGTCTTCAGTAACATCCTCAGAAGATGGAAAATTACGAATGTTTTCGTTCAATCCTGCATGCTTGAAACAATTGTAAATGGTCTTCTGTGAAATTTTGTTCCATGCATCATAAGCTAGCAATATCGCATCCAACACCGTTACCTTCATAGTAGAAAGGTCTTCATTAGCTTCCAAGTGTTCCAAAGTACGAAGCACAAGATTTTTTCTAAAATGACTTTTTAATCCATGAATCACGCCCTGATCCATAGGCTGAAGGATTGATGTTGTGTTGGCTGGGAGAAAAGCAAGAGTTATAGATTTTAAACCACTAATCTGAGAATGAGCTGGGCAGTTGTCAACTAGTAATAGAATTTTTTTATTCTTTTTTATTAGTTCGTTATCCCAATCACGAATCCACTTCTCATAAACTGATAAGGTCATCCAGGCTTTAGAATTATGCGTGTAATCTACTGGCAACGATTTAACGCCTTTGAAACATCTCGGCTGTTTCGCCTTCCCTATTACCAGCAATTTCTTTTTTACTGTGCCACTCATGTTTGCTGCTACCATCATAGTTATTCTGTCCTTTGGCATCTTACCACCGGTACAAGTCTCACCTTGAATTTAAAAAAGTCTAATTAAAATCTTCATTCATGCTTTCATAGAAAATTAAATGCAAAAAATGAAAAAGCGTTTTCTGTACAAGACTCACCTTTAAATTTCAAAGTTCTGTCTGGCATCATTTTGTAGAAAAGTCCAGTTTCATCCGCATTGAATATTTTGTCATCAGCAAATCGTTGTCGTAAATTTGGCCACACAGTCGTCAACCAGTTAGTGACAGAAGTTTTATCAACGGCCGCGGATTCTCCACTTATTTTTCCCACTACAATGCTATGTCTCTTCTTAAATCGATCTACCCAACTTTTTGTACAATTAAAATTTAGATTCATTTTTTTGGCAAACAAATTAGCCTTTTCCATTAGCAAACAACCACTGATAGGAATTTTTTTTTCTCTTAAACTATTAAGCCATTGTAGCAGACATTTTTCAACATTTACCTGAGTTGACTCCCGAACTCTCTTTGATTTTAAAGCATTTGAGTTGAAAGACTTCTCAATTCTATCTTTATTTTTCAAAATCATTGAAATTGTGGAATGTCCAACACCAAACTCTTTTGCAAGTGCCGCATTTGACTCTCCATTTTCCAGTCTGCATATAATGGCACCTTTCTCTTCAATCGTGAAAGCTCTGCGATTAGGAGCCATTTTTGTATAAATAAATTTTTGTATATAACTTACTGAATAAATCGTCACTGTATGTCTTGAAACGACACTTGTCACTATCAATGTAATCAGAATTAAGGATTTTGTTGACCACATGAATTTGGAAACAAATAAGTAATACCTAACATTCGTCATTATAAACGGTGTGATTCATCTAAAATATGTCAATATTAACGTCATTATAAGCGGTATGTCACACTAACCGATGTCATTATAAGCAGACTTGAATACATTGAACATTTAATGAAACCAAACCTTATATCAAAATTATGTCACACTAAGCGGGCCGTCACTATAAACGAACTTTACTGTATTTTGTATCTAGAAAGAAGGAGACAGAAAGATATTTGAAAGATATATATATATATATATATATATATATATATATATATATATATATATATATATATATATATATATATATATATATATATATATATATATATATATATATATATATATATATATATATATATATATATATATGACTTTCCACGAAAAAACAGGGCTTAGCTCCCAAACGTGAATTTCACAGGGCGAGCGATTGAAGTACTACGATTGAAGTTAACTACGCTTGACATACCCATCTTTAAAACGATATATTGTCGAAAGTAGTTGATATTTTTAACTTTTGACTTTTGCATCTGAAAAAGCAACATAAAATCTGTCGATTACCATAAAAAACTCAAATTGATTTTTTGGACCTAAGCCGTGTTTTGTCGTGGACAGTCGACGATTGAAGTTAACTACGCTTGACATACCCAGCTTTAAAACGATTCCGCTACTGCACATGATCTAAATCAGTTCAAATTAATCCAATATGACCACCAGGCAATTAATAAAACGTAAAATAATTTATTTAAAATGTTGTAAACAATATTAATTAACAAATAAATAACCTTGATTCCTCTTCACTAAAAAAGTTTTTTTTCGCATTTACTTTTTTATTTAGGTTCATGTAAACAATATATGTCCTTCTTGTTACAGGAAAACTTATTTAAATTGTTATAAAAATTGTTAATTAACAAATAGTTCATTTTTGTCCCTCTCCATTAAAAATATTTTTTACGTTTTCTTTTTTATTTATGTTCATTTAAAGAATGTGTTATCCTTGTTTAAGAAATAACATACACTCGAATCTTGATATAACGAGAAGTGAGGAATCCGAAAAATCTCGATATAACGACTGCGTGAGGGGGCCCCACTCTTAAACAATTTATTTGTGTGAAGTTAAGTAACTGTAATTAATGTCATGTGCAAAAAAACGATGTTTAAATGTTTTCAAATAGTGGGGATAAAAGAGGAGAAATATTTCTCGTTGTAACGAGAGTTGACAGTTCGTTGTATCAAGCGCTCGTTTTATCAAGATTCGAGTGTATTTAAATTGTTATAAACAATATTAATTAACAAATATATAACTTTGATTCCTCTCCATTCAAAAAATTTTTTTATGTGTAGTTTTTTTATTTAGGTTCATTTAAAGAATATAAAAATATAAGTATAAGTACTTATTTTAAGTTTACATCCTTTTTAAAATAAGTAGTTATAATTACATTCTTATATTTTTCAAATGGACCTAAAAAAAGTACACGTGAAAAAAAAATTTTATAGAAAGGCTTGATCAAATCTCAGACTTATATTTTTATTGTTAATTTTTAAAATTGGATACTTTTAAAATTTTTAAATTTTGCTCTACTAATATGCATAAAATGTGTGCTCTGCAGTTTGATGCATATAGTGTATTCGGATAAATAACGTGAATTTTTCTAAATATTTTTATTGCATTTAGGATTTTCCTGTTAATAACAAACTTGGAAAAATATCTGAAATGGACTGTTTTGCCCTTCATTTCAAATGTGATATAACTTTAATATCTTCGTTATATATTTTAAAAAATTTTCATTTACACTCTAAATCTGAATCAGTGAAATTCTACTTAAGATTAGTGAAATTTTAAGAATAACTGACTTTATTCTCGCGAATTGAATCAGTGGAGTTTTACTAAAAATCGGTTGAAATTTACAGAAATATCAGTGATTTTTTACTGATTGTCCAATCAAAAAATTATTGGAAATTTCTGTCACGCATATTAAAATTTTCAGTTAATTTTTAATTGCCCAATCAGTGAAAAATAAATAAAATTTCAATTCAATGTTTCCTTAACCCTCACAGGCTCGAGCCGGGTCCCTCGGACCCGGAGGAAAGTTTTTTTGATCTACTTCCGGTTAGGAAAATATTATTGGAAAATCAACTTCACATTAGGCTTGGGGACGTAAAAACATACATTTTTCACCAGTATAAACAATTTTTTATTAATTAAATACTCTGGTAAAATTACCTTGTAAGTCGATCATACGTAAGGGCTCAAGCCGGGTCAGAGGGACCCGGGCTATAAAAACAAATTTTCAAATTTCCTTTTTTTATACAATATTGGATTTATTTATGGTATTTTTATCAATAACTGACATAATAAGTGATAACATATGCTGAGACGCATGCTTATTCCCGAAATCTTTTTTAACTAAATAGTTATTTGATATAAAACTACTTAACTTAAAATTCACATAATATGCACATTATTTGACATAAATTTCATTGCACACAAAAACTATTTAACATAAATATCATTTGTCATAGAACTCATTAAACAGAAATATTATGTTACATAAAACTCAGATAACTTAATTTCCATTTGACATAAAAATTATGTAACATACATTTCTATTGACATAAAAATCATTTAACATAAATTTCTTTTGACATAAAACTCATTTAACGTAAATTTTATTTGTTATAAAATTTATTTGACATCTATTTCATTTGGCATAAATGTCATTTAAGGGGGAGTGACATCTTTAAGACCTCTTTTGAACCTGTTTTTCATGAATTTTTTTAAGACACGGGAATAAAGTAAACAAAATTTGGTTTTGAGGGATTTATTTGTTAACTTTTTAAGTTTACAAAAATATATTTATACGTAAAAAAAGTTTAAATTTGTTGCCTATAGAGGGCGCCGAAGTTGGTATCCATTCTCTGCAGAGCAAATCGGTGGGCAAGATTCCGGTTAGACCGTTTAATCTAAATCAAAAATTCAAAGTTTTTCTGAATCTAAGATAGATTTAGCTTTCGAGTACGTAGGATATTTTAAAAATATTAATTTTGGTGTATTTGGCAGTTGTTTGAAGTAAAAAGTTGATTTTTAGGGCGAAAATTTGTCAAAAAATATGTTGCCAAAAGAAACAAAGAAACCAAAAAAAATCCGCTACGTACTCGAAAGCATTAGTAAATGACGATAAAAAAAACTTTGTCCGAAGTCAATCCGATCAAAACTGTTCTAGCTAGACTGCCTACCGTTTTGAAAAACGTCATTTCGAGAAAAACGCGTTTAAAGTTTTGAAAGTACTTGAAGCGCTCTTGGACACCTTTTGAAGATTTTGATTTTTTTCACATAAATAACTTCGAAATCATATCTAATGATATAATTTCTATTCTACACATTATAAAGTAATGAATTTTATGACTTATGATATTTATGTTAAATGTTTTTTGTGTGCAATGAAATTTATGTCAAATAATGTGCATATTATGTAAATTTTAAGTTAAGTAGTTTTATATCAAATAACTATTTGGTTAAAAAAGATTTCGGGAATAAGCATGCGTCTCACATATGCTTAACACATCAGTAAATTTAATAGAACAAAAATACAAATTAGAAAAATCTTCCTTAATAAGTACGTAGTTCGATTTATTCAAAATGATTCATTAAAATTATTAAACAAATTTTAGTTATAACTTGATTACTTTTTAATATTTTAAATTTTGTATCTAATTATATCATTAAAATTGTACTAAATATTAATAAAATGAAGCACTTTGCTATTAAATTTTATTTTTTATTGCATTGAAACTTTCGGGTCCCTCAGACCCACCTTGTGTGCGCATTTCAAAAATCGAACTCGAGCCTGTGAGGGTTAATAGACAAACAGCTATTTATTGGCTGGAGTTTGAGAGTGACGATCGTGATGGGTTGTGAAAATGACATGATGACGGTCGCGAGTGGTTGAAATACGATGATGGCGGTCACTATGGGCTGAAATAATTTCAAATTTTTGTGCGCGCGCAGTTTTGAGGTTTTAATTTATTTCACGTGGTCGAGTGCGAGTATTATACATGAATACATGATACATGTCGAATATTACAGATTATTACAGAATATAGAAGTAAAGAATACGTGTTTTTTCCTAAATATTCTTCATCATTCTTAATTCTTAATAATATTCTGGATATATTTTATGATAAAAGTGAAAAGTGACAAAACAATAAAAATATATATAAAATATCAGAAGTGAAAAAAGTTTTGTAATTAAAAAATAAGAATAAAGAGGATATAAGTAAGTTTTTAAAAATTGTGTAAAATACTACTTTTTAGTAATAAAAAATATTTTTTTATATGTAAATGCAATTAATAAATAAACATCTTTCCTGTCTAAATCATTAAAACATAATCTATTTTTTAGCAATTAAACTTATAATAAAGAAATTTAAGTAACTTTCTAGAATTAGTTAAAAAATTCTTGAGTTTGCCTTGTTACATTAAAATATTAAAATCAATAAAATTGCTGAAATACTTTCAAGCACCCAGATTTTATTTTTAAAGTATTTATGTTGTTTTTTTAAAAGAATATTTAGGTATAAAATTAAACTCTGATGGTTAATAAACAGGTGTTATAATAATTGGATTATAGTTTCTGCATCTGTAACTTTTAGAATTAAATTTTAATGGTAAAAATCCTTTTTTTTAAACAAAAACATTAATTTTTTAAAAATAAACTGATGCTTATTTTAGCATTATCCAAAGAACATTAAAACATGTAAATATTTCGGAAATTATATTAATTTTACTACTAATAAATATAATAGTAATAAATAATTTATCCCAGAATAATTTAATCCCAACAAAAACATCTTTGATATTATATGAA